ATTCTTATTTTTATTATCTCTTTTTGATGCACTGAGCCAAAGCAATTTCCTAGTCTGTGACTTCCTGTTACTTACGTGGCAATAAAAAATATTCTGATTCTGATTCTGATATATGTATATATATGTATATATATTCAGTAGTGTAGATTCACACCAAAGCCACACAGTGAATAGACAATTCTCTTCATGTTTCCCAGTCCTCTGCACATGTGTTTCATGTGTCCCAGTCCTTTGCACATGTGTTTCATGTGTCTCAGTCCTTTGCACATGTGTTGCATGTGTCTCAGTCCTCTGCACATGTGTTGCATGTGTCTCAGTCATTTGCACATGTGTTTCATGTGTCTCAGTCCTCTGCACATGTGTTTCATGTGTCCCAGTCCTTTGCACATGTGTTTCATGTGTCTCAGTCCTTTGCACATGTGTTGCATGTGTCTCAGTCCTCTGCACATGTGTTGCATGTGTCTCAGTCCTTTGCACATGTGTTTCATGTGTCTCAGTCCTTTGCACATGTGTTTCATGTGTCTCAGTCCTTTGCACATGTGTTGCATGTGTCTCAGTCCTCTGCACATGTGTTGCATGTGTCTCAGTCCTTTGCACATGTGTTGCATGTGTCTCAGTCCTTTGCACATGTGTTTCATGTGTCTCAGTCCTTTGCACATGTGTTTCATGTGTCTCAGTCCTTTGCACATGTGTTTCATGTGTCTCAGTCCTTTGCACATGTGTTTCATGTGTCTCAGTCCTTTGCACATGTGTTGCATGTGTCTCAGTCCTTTGCACATGTGTTGCATGTGTCTCAGTCCTTTGCACATGTGTTTCATGTGTCTCAGTCCTTTGCACATGTGTTTCATGTGTCTCAGTCCTTTGCACATGTGTTTCATGTGTCTCAGTCCTTTGCACATGTGTTTCATGTGTCTCAGTCCTTTGCACATGTGTTTCATGTGTCTCAGTCTTTTGCACATGTGTTGCATGTGTCTCAGTCCTTTGCACATGTGTTGCATGTGTCTCAGTCCTTTGCACATGTGTTTCATGTGTCTCAGTCCTCTGCACATATGTTTCATGTGTCTCAGTCCTTTGCACATGTGTTTCATGTGTCTCAGTCCTTTGCACATGTGTTTCATGTGTCTCAGTCCTTTGCACATGTGTTGCATGTGTCTCAGTCCTCTGCACATGTGTTGCATGTGTCTCAGTCCTCTGCACATGTGTTTCATGTGTCTCAGTCCTTTGCACATGTGTTTCATGTGTCTCAGTCCTTTGCACATGTGTTGCATGTGTCTCAGTCCTTTGCACATGTGTTGCATGTGTCTCAGTCCTTTGCACATGTGTTGCATGTGTCTCAGTCCTTTGCACATGTGTTTCATGTGTCTCAGTCCTTTGCACATGTGTTGCATGTGTCTCAGTCATTTGCACATGTGTTTCATGTGTCTCAGTCCTTTGCACATGTGTTTCATGTTTCCCAGTCCTTTGCACATGTGTTTCATGTTTCTCAGTCCTTTGCACATGTGTTTCATGTGTCTCAGTCCTCTGCACATGTGTTTCATGTGTCCCAGTCCTTTGCACATGTGTTGCATGTTTCCCAGTCCTTTGCACATGTGTGATGATAATCTGGTCCTGGAACAGTCTTTGGTGATGTCACGTCACTCGCAGAGAAACATCTGTGAGTTTCTCTGTGGATTTCAGACTCGTGGATACGGGGCAGATCCCGAGAACAAAGTCGATCCTCATTCTCCGACTTCGGCCAAATACTGTGGTCACATACTTACACCAACAAGTCTCATGAAGCGAACACATACAGCACTGACACTTATTTACAGTCTATGGAGCAGACGCTGGACTCAGAGGCTGCATGACGATAGACGGCTCTGATTCGCTGGTTCCTCTTGGAGGCGGGCCTTTGCCGTCACGGATTGTGCCACGTCACAATTTGAATCAGCTCCTTTCTCGGCCTCTCGAGAATGAAAGAGAAAGATTGTTTCTAACTAAAGCTTCACAGAATCAATGAAAAACTACTCTGGGCAAATAGGTTCCGTTTAAGACAGAGAAAAGTCAAGAAGTGTAATATGGCACCTTTAATAACCTCACACTGTTGAGCCGCGTTCAGACCGGATCATGCTGCGGCGACTTTCAATGTCAACGCTGACGCACGTTCAAGCGTGGAACTGCATTTGCGTCTCAGCGACCAATCAGAGAGCTGCAAAGTGGTCACAGGGACATTAGTGTCTGAGCGAGCAGACTGAACATACTGTAAACAGCCAAAACAGGAGCTACACCAGGACTAAACCAGGACTAAACCAGGCCTAAACCAGGGCTAAACCAGGGCTAAACCAGGACTAAACCAGGACTAAACCAGGGCTAAACCAGGCCTAAACCAGGCCTAAACCAGGACTAAACCAGGACTAAACCAGGGCTAAACCAGGGCTAAACCAGGACTAAACCAGGCCTAAACCAGGACTAAACCAGGGTTGACAATGGGGGACATAGTGCTTAACATGTGAGTTGTCATGCTCCCGTGACTTTATGCAACTGCTTCGAGTGTGTTCACCGATGCCGAAATACTGTTTAATAATACTGCTGTTATATAAAGTCACCTCCGTGAACACATACTGCTGTTATATAAAGTCACCGTGAACACATACTGCTGTTATATAAAGTCTCCGTGAACACATACTGCTGTTATATAAAGTCACCTCCGTGAACACATACTGCTGTTATATAAAGTCACCGTGAACACATACTGCTGTTATATAAAGTCTCCGTGAACACATACTGCTGTTATATAAAGTCACCGTGAACACATACTGCTGTTATATAAAGTCACCTCCGTGAACACATACTGCTGTTATATAAAGTCACCTCCGTGAACACATACTGCTGTTATATAAAGTCACCTCCGTGAACACATACTGCTGTTATATAAAGTCACCGTGAACACATACTGCTGTTATATAAAGTCACCTCCGTGAACACATACTGCTGTTATATAAAGTCACCGTGAACACATACTGCTGTTATATAAAGTCACCTTTGTGAACACATACTGCTGTTATATAAAGTCACCTCCGTGAACACATACTGCTGTTCTATAAAGTCACCTCCGTGAACACATACTGCTGTTATATAAAGTCACCTCCGTGAACACATACTGCTGTTATATAAAGTCACCTCCGTGAACACATACTGCTGTTATATAAAGTCACCGTGAACACATACTGCTGTTATATAAAGTCACCTTTGTGAACACATACTGCTGTTATATAAAGTCACCTCCGTGAACACATACTGCTGTTATATAAAGTCACCTCCGTGAACACATACTGCTGTTATATAAAGTCACCTCCGTGAACACATACTGCTGTTATATAAAGTCACCTCCGTGAACACATACTACTGTTATATAAAGTCACCGTGAACCAGTGGCGGCTGGTGGAATTTTCTACTGGGGGGGCTATGAATATGATGACTAGATATAAATGCACCACAGAATTTGACACAGTCTATTATTTTTGATAGGATGTGCCTATTCTTGTCAACCTCCTCATTGTGCTTTCTGATCCCTACCCTGTAGCTTTCATCTAGCTGGGATGAAATATTTATCTTCCCAAACATAGCTAATTTGAGGGCATTTTGCATGTGGATACCAGTCTGCTCATGCTTCTTTGCCTTTTCTAAAAAGTGCTTCAGATCAGTCATACCTGTCTTGATCCATGCTGGGTCAGATCCTGATGTTTGAAACAAGAGGCATGGAAAGCAAAATAAAGCATTAGCCTCACTACATGCTGCTAGCCAAGATTTGGCGCTGAACCAGGTCCTGGAAAAAGTACGAGTGTACCGTCCCCCCCTGTCGCTGGACTGCTGACTAATGGTAATATTTGGCTGATCAGGTCCAAGCTCTTTAACCTCAACCTTCTCCTGGTATGATCTTCTCTCAAACGGTATTGTTTTGAGTGATCTAACTGAATTATTCTTTTTCTCGTTCTCCATTTTGCGTCTGTTTACGTTCGTCTCAAACTCCCACAGCTTGACCTGTCAATCCCTGTAAACGGACGTCACAGACAGTGACAGTACAGGTCGCGGGCGATCCCGCCCCCTCAGGGCGCACTTCTCCTGCGCCCCCAAATCGTCTTATCTCTTGCATTGAAGAGGAGCTACTGCGCATGTACAACTTTTAACGAGAGTCCATAGACGGCGGAAATACGTCCTCAGTCCGACACAGACAACGCTGATGAGCTTAATCAATCCAACTCAGCATAAACTATAAAGTATTTCTTCCACATCTGAAATAAAACACACATACATTTCGAAATATTTTAATGTTATTTTTTTTTTAACGTTTTATTCAAGGTAACATGGCAAGTTGTGAGTGGTGGGGCGGCGCCCTAGCGCCCTCTATTGGCCGGCCGCCACTGACGTGAACACATACTGCTGTTATATAAAGTCACCGTGAACACATACTGCTGTTATATAAAGTCACCTCCGTGAACACATACTGCTGTTATATAAAGTCACCGTGAACACATACTGCTGTTATATAAAGTCACCGTGAACACATACTGCTGTTATATAAAGTCACCTCCGTGAACACATACTGCTGTTATATAAAGTCACCGTGAACACATACTGCTGTTATATAAAGTCACCGTGAACACATACTGCTGTTATATAAAGTCACCGTGAACACATACTGCTGTTATATAAAGTCACCTCCGTGAACACATACTGCTGTTATATAAAGTCACCGTGAACACATACTGCTGTTATATAAAGTCACCTCCGTGAACACATACTGCTGTTATATAAAGTCACCGTGAACACATACTGCTGTTATATAAAGTCACCTCCGTGAACACATACTGCTGTTATATAAAGTAAAGCTGCTAGCTTAACTCCGTTAGCATCAAAGTCCGCTACTTCCGCCACTTCCAGCGGGCGCCACCGCAGCAGGACTTCTGGTCTGAAAACCCCTGCGTCTGAAAATTAGAGAAGTGCGTCTGGTGCGCGAGGCGTTAGCGTTCCAGCGTTAGCGTTCCAGCGTTGGCGTTCCAGCGTTGGCGTTCCAGCGTCGGCGTTCCAGCGTCGGCGTTCCAGCGTCGGCGTTCCAGCGTCGGCGTTCCAGCGTCGGCGTTCCAGCGTTGGCGTTCCAGCGTCGGCGTTCCAGCGTCGGCGTTCCAGCGTCGGCGTTCCAGCGTCGGCGTTCCAGCGTCGGCGTTCCAGCGTCGGCGTTCCAGCGTCGGCGTTCCAGCGTCGGCGTTCCAGCGTCGGCGTTCCAGCGTCGGCGTTCCAGCGTCGGCGTTCCAGCGTCGGCGTCTGAACGCGCCTTTAGACTTTTTTTGACACAGGATGCGATGGCACAGACTGGCAGCTTCTGTCGGTGTGCCCCAGGGCAGCTGTGGCTACAGTAGTATCAACATCGTGTTTGGAGAGAAAGAATACTGATGTGAAGCGTCTTTGTCCAAAGAAGTGCTGTTTAATTTTGCCTGGCCTGCCAAACGATATGCTTTTTCAAAGACATGTCAGCGAATTCCCGGTGGGCGTGGTTGACAGACTGCATCAACCAATTAGATGCACACAGGATATGACGCAGCAACTAGCGGCACCCAAGCCGTTTCAGTAAACACAAAACAAGGGATGGCGGCATGTCAGCTAGTGCAAATGTAAACGACTGCTGTCGATTTTGTAACAAAAACTTAAAGATACGAGGAGTTATTAGCAACTCAATTCCGTTGTTTGCTTCCGCCTCTAGGTGAAAGGAAGTCCCGCCTCTCGGTGCGTGATTGGACCGATGTGGGTAAAATCGTGAAATGATAGGCTAGGAAGAGGTGTCCAGATGGTTCTTCTTTTGAACAGAAAGGAGGAGTGTCTGGCAGGCCAGGCAATGTTTAATTAACACTGATGCATTATTGTCCTCGTCCAAGCCACGTTTAGTGTTGATGGTTGAGTGTTGATGGTTGAGTGTTGATGGTTGAGTGTTGATGGTTGAGTGTTTAGGGTTGAGTGTATGAGGGTTGAGTGTTGATGGTTGAGTGTTGATGGTTGAATGTTGAGGGTTGAGTGTTGATGGTTGAGTGTTGATGGTTGAGTGTTGATGGTTGAGTGTTGAGGGTTGAGTGTTGAGGGTTGAGTGTTGAGGGTTGAGGGTTGAGTGTTGAGGGTTGAGTGTTGAGGGTTGAGTGTTGATGGTTGAGTGTTGATGGTTCAGTGTTGAGGGTTGAGTGTTGAGGGTTGAGTGTTGATGGTTGAGTTGATGGTTGAGTGTTGATGGTTGAGTGTTGATGGTTGAGTGTTGATGGTTGAGGGTTGAGTGTTGATGGTTGAGTGTACGAGTGTTGAGGGTTGAGTGTTGAGGGTTGAGTGTTGATGGTTGAGTTGATGGTTGAGTGTTGATGGTTGAGTGTTGATGGTTGAGTGTTGATGGTTGAGGGTTGAGTGTTGATGGTTGAGTGTACGAGGGTTGAGTGTTGATGGTTGAGTGTTGAGTGTTGATGGTTGAGTGTTGATGGTTGAGTGTTGATGGTTGAATGTTGATGGTTGAGTGTTGAGGGTTGAGTGTTGAGGGTTGAGTGTTGAGGGTTGAGTGTTGAGGGTTGAGTGTTGATGGTTGAGTGTTGATGGTTGAGTGTTGAGGGTTGAGTGTTGATGGTTGAGTGTTGAGTGTTGATGGTTGAGTGTTGATGGTTGAGTGTTGATGGTTGAGTGTTGATGGTTGAGTGTTGATGGTTGAGTGTTGAGGGTTGAGTGTTGAGGGTTGAGTGTTGATGGTTGAGTGTACGAGGGTTGAGTGTTGATGGTTGAGTGTACGAGGGTTGAGTGTTGAGTGTTGATGGTTGAGTGTTGAGGGTTGAGTGTTGAGGGTTGAGTGTTGATGGTTGAGTGTTGAGGGTTGAGTGTTGAGGGTTGAGTGTTGATGGTTGAGTGTACGAGGGTTGAGTGTTGATGGTTGAGTGTACGAGGGTTGAGTGTTGAGTGTTGATGGTTGAGTGTTGATGGTTGAGTGTTGATGGTTTATGGAGTGCATTAAAGCGGCTCTTTATGGTCATATCACAGTTGTCTCTGATCCATTAGGCCTCGTATCTGCCACAAGCAGCACTAATTACAGGATTAATACAGCCCTGACTGATGTGTGTGTGTGTGTCTGTGTGTGTACGTGAGTGTCTGTGTGTGTCTGAGTGTGTGTGTGTGTGTTTGTGTGTGTGTGTCTGTGTGTGTGTGTGACCAGAGACCAGAGAGAGAGACCAGAGAGACCAGAGAGAGAGACCAGAGAGAGACACAGAGAGAGACACAGAGAGAGACCAGAGAGAGAGACCAGAGAGAGAGACCAGAGAGCGAGACCAGAGAGAGACCAGAGAGAGAGACCAGAGAGCGAGACCAGAGAGAGACCAGAGAGAGTCTAGAGAGAGTCTAGAGAGAGACCAGAGAGAGACCAGAGAGAGTCTAAAGAGAGACCAGAGAGAGACCAGAGAGCGAGATCAGAGAGAGACCAGAGAGAGACCAGAGAGAGACCAGAGAGAGACCAGAGAGAGACCAGAGAGAGACCAGAGATAGACCAGAGAGAGAGACCAGAGAGAGACCAGAGAGAGACCAGAGAGAGACCAGAGAGAGACCAGAGAGAGACCAGAGAGAGACCAGAGAGAGACCAGAGAGCGAGATCAGAGTGAGACCAGAGAGAGAGACCAGACTAGAGAGAGACCAGAGAGAGACCAGAGAGAGACCAGAGAGAGACCAGAGAGAGAGACCAGAGAGAGAGACCAGAGAGAGACCAGAGAGAGACCAGAGAGAGAGACCAGAGAGAGACCAGAGAGAGACCAGAGAGAGAAACCAGAGAGAGACCAGAGAGAGACCAGAGAGAGACCAGAGAGAGACCAGAGAGAGAGACCAGAGAGAGAGACCAGAGAGAGAGACCAGAGAGAGACCAGAGAGAGACCAGAGAGAGAGACCAGAGAGAGACCAGAGAGAGACCAGAGAGAGACCAGAGAGCGAGATCAGAGAGAGACCAGAGAGAGACCAGAGAGAGAGACCAGAGAGAGACCAGAGAGAGAAACCAGAGAGAGACCAGAGAGAGACCAGAGAGAGACCAGAGAGAGACCAGAGAGAGACCAGAGAGAGACCAGAGAGAGACCAGAGAGAGAGACCAGAGAGAGAGACCAGAGAGAGACCAGAGAGAGAGACCAGAGAGAGACCAGAGAGAGACCAGAGAGAGACCAGAGAGACCAGAGAGAGACCAGAGAGAGACCAGAGAGAGACCAGAGAGAGAGACCAGAGAGAGACAAGAGAAAGACCAGAGAGAGGCCAGAGAGAGACCAGAGAGAGACCAGAGAGAGACCAGAGAGAGAGACCAGAGAGAGACCAGAGAGAGACCAGAAAGAGACCAGAAAGAGACCAGAGAGAGACCAGAGAGAGACCAGAGAGAGACCAGAGAGAGACCAGAGAGAGACTAGAGAGAGACTAGAGAGAGACCAGAGAGAGACCAGAGAGAGACCAGAGAGAGACCAGAGAGAGACTAGAGAGAGACTAGAGAGAGACTAGAGAGAGACCAGAGAGAGACCAGAGAGAGACTAGAGAGAGACCAGAGAGAGACCAGAGAGAGACCAGAAAGAGACCAGAGAGAGACCAGAGAGAGACCAGAGAGAGACCAGAGAGAGACCAGAGAGAGACCAGAGAGAGACTAGAGAGAGACTAGAGAGAGACTAGAGAGAGACTAGAGAGAGACTAGAGAGAGACTAGAGAGAGACCAGAGAGAGACCAGAGAGAGAGACCAGAAAGAGACCAGAGAGAGACCAGAGAGAGAAGAGAGAGACCAGAGAGAGACCAGAGAGAGACTAGAGAGAGACTAGAGAGAGACTAGAGAGAGACTAGAGAGAGACCAGAGAGAGACTAGAGAGAGACCAGAGAGAGACTAGAGAGAGACCAGAGAGAGACCAGAGAGAGACTAGAGAGAGACTAGAGAGAGACTAGAGAGAGACTAGAGAGAGACTAGAGAGAGACTAGAGAGAGAGACCAGAAAGAGACCAGAGAGAGACCAGAGAGAGACCAGAGAGAGACCAGAGAGAGACCAGAGAGAGACCAGAGAGAGACTAGAGAGAGACCAGAGAGAGACCAGAGAGAGACTAGAGAGAGACTAGAGAGAGACCAGAGAGAGACCAGAGAGAGACTATCCCAGGAACCTCCTTTTTCCTCTAATTTTCAGCCGAGTGACTTTGGTGTGAACCTTTTATCCATATTTACGTACATTGCACAAGGTTTCCTGGGCCAATTTCTTATATTACGTTTAAAATCTGGCGCCCGGCCCCGGCTCATGAATCAGTCCTCGCTGTAGCGCTCGATGATAAAGTCTTGGTGCCGCCGCGGCGTTGCCAGTTTCTGCACTTTTACAATAATGACCTCAATGATAAAACTCCACAACACGACGACACATGGTGTAAAGTGTGACTCATCTGAGAGAGACCAGAGCGAGACCTGAGAGAGACCAGAGCGAGACCTGAGAGAGACCAGAGAGAGACCAGAGAGAGACCAGAGAGAGACCAGAGAGAGACCAGAGAGAGACCAGAGAGACCAGAGAGAGACCAGAGAGAGACTAGAGAGAGAGACCAGAGAGAGACCAGAGAGAGACCAGAGAGAGACCAGAGAGAGACCAGAGAGAGACCAGAGAGAGACCAGAGAGAGACCAGAGAGAGACCAGAGAGAGACCTGAGAGAGACCAGAGAGAGACCAGAGAGAGACCAGAGAGAGACCAGAGAGAGACCAGAGAGAGGCTAGAGAGAGAGACCAGAGAGAGAGAGACCAGAGAGAGACCAGAGAGAGACCAGAGAGAGACCAGAGAGAGACCAGAGAGAGGCTAGAGAGAGAGACCAGAGCGAGACCTGAGAGAGACCAGAGAGAGACCAGAGAGAGACCAGAGAGAGACCAGAGAGAGACCAGAGAGAGACCAGAGAGAGGCTAGAGAGAGAAACCAGAGAGAGACCAGAGAGAGACCAGAGAGAGACCAGAGAGAGACCAGAGAGAGACCAGAGAGAGACCAGAGAGAGACCAGAGAGAGACCTGAGAGAGAGACCAGAGAGAGACCAGAGAGAGACTAGAGAGAGAGACCAGAGAGAGACCCGAGAGAGAGACCAGAGAGAGACCCAGAGAGAGAGACCAGAGAGAGACCAGAGAGAGACCAGAGAGAGACCAGAGAGAGACCTGAGAGAGAGACCAGAGAGAGACCAGAGAGAGAGACCAGAGAGAGACCAGAGAGAGACCAGAGAGAGAGACCAGAGAGAGAGACCAGAGAGAGACCAGAGAGAGAGACCAGAGAGAGAGACCAGAGAGAGACCAGAGAGAGAGACCAGAGAGAGAGACCAGAGAGAGACCAGAGAGAGAGACCAGAGAGAGAGACCAGAGAGAGACCAGAGAGAGACCAGAGAGAGACCAGAGAGAGACCAGAAAGAGACCAGAGAGAGGCCAGAGAGAGACCAGAGAGAGACCAGAGAGAGACCAGAGAGAGACCAGAGAGAGAGACCAGAGAGAGACCAGAGAGAGACCAGAAAGAGACCAGAGAGAGACCTGAGAGAGAAAGACCAGAGAGAGACCAGAGAGAGACCAGAAAGAGACCAGAGAGAGACCAGAGAGAGACCAGAGAGAGACCAGAGAGAGGCCAGAGAGAGACCAGAGAGATGCCAGAGAGAGACCAGAGAGAGACCAGAGAGAGACCAGAGAGAGAGAGACCAGAGAGAGACCAGAGAGAGACCAGAGAGAGACCAGAGAGAGGCTAGAGAGAGACCAGAGAGAGACCAGAGAGAGACCAGAGAGAGAGAGACCAGGGAGAGGCCAGAGAGAGACCAGAGAGAGACCAGAGAGAGACCAGAGAGAGACCAGAGAGAGAGAGACCAGAGAGAGACCAGAGAGAGACCAGAGAGAGACCAGAGAGAGGCCAGAGAGAGAGACCTGAGAGAGACCAGAGAGAGGCCAGAGAGAGAGACCAGAGAGAGACCAGAGAGAGGCCAGAGAGAGAGACCAGAGAGAGAGACCAGAGAGAGAGACCAGAGAGAGAGACCAGAGAGAGACCAGAGAGAGGCTAGAGAGAGACCAGAAAGAGACCAGAGAGAGGCCAGAGAGAGGCCAGAGAGAGACCAGAGAGAGACCAGAGAGAGACCAGAGAGTACATTAACGCCTTATGACTGTAACGAGTTGCGAGGGCTCTGTTCTGTGGATGATGAAAACCAGAGCTCAGATTTCTCACTGATGCTAAAGAAAAAGATAAATTTGAATTCATATCTGGCACCCTCTCCGCGGCGTCCCTAGTTTTCATCACCTTCTGTTCCCGACGTCTCCAGAGCCTCTTCATTTTTAATCCCGTCTCGTCTCCGGGATCAGAACAGCTCACACCAGGATGTGTTCAAAACCCACGTCAGGAGCAGTGGTTTCATCTTTGTGCTTATTCTGGTCACATCCCAGTCCTCACAGACGCACGACCATACGTGACCGGGACGTTTATGGTCACGTATGGACGTTTATGGTCACGTATGGACGTTTATGGTCACGTATGGATGTTTATGGTCACGTATGGACGTTTATGACGTGCGCTGACATGCTGCAATACCACCCCAGGCCTGTGGGGGTGGACCCAGAAGAAGAATTAGCCAATGCTAACATATAGCATCTTGTAAGAGCTGTGACACATGTGTGTCAATGCCGAGTGTTCTGGACCAGTCTGGTTTAGTCGCTGTGGACTTTAGAAGTCTCTCGTTTAAATGAATGGAGCTCTCGCGGCTGACACATGCACAGATGCGTTTTTTCACAATTTTCTTGTGGGCGGGACCACTCGCGGCCATTTCGGATAGCTCCAGTAGAGCACTATTTTTGGCCCATTAGTTAGAACGGCGGAGATAGGCGTGACTCTGTCTGTTAATATTTATAGTCTATGGTATGGACGTCTATGGTCAGTGGTCAGTGTGAATGGGGCGTGGTCAGTATGAAGGGGCGTGGTCAGTATGAAGGGGCGTGGTCAGTGCCTCCCAAACATGTGATGAAGCAGAACTCGCTTCTCTACATTTTCCCGCTTGTTTCTGCTGCCGTGAACCCAGAGACTCAAACCTGTATGAACCCATGGTCCTGATCCCATGGTCCTGAACCCATGGTCCTGATCCCATGGTCCTGAACCCATGGTCCTGATCCCATGGTCCTGAACCCATGGTCCTGATCCCATGGTCCTGATCCCATGGTCCTGAACCCATGGTCCCGACCCCATGGTCCCAACGCCATGGTCCTGAACCCATGGTCCTGAACCCATGGTCCTGATCCCATGGTCCTGAACCCGTGGTCTTGATCCCATGGTCCTGAACCCGTGGTCCTGATCCCATGGTCTTGATCCCATGGTCCTGATCCCATGGTCCTGATCCCATGGTCCTGATCCCATGGTCCTGAACCCGTGGTCCTGATCCCATGGTCTTGATCCCATGGTCCTGATCCCATGGTCTTGATCCCATGGTCCTGAACCCGTGGTCCTGATCCCATGGTCCTGATCCCATGGTCCTGATCCCATGGTCCTGATCCCATGGTCCTGATCCCATGGTCCTGAACCCATGGTCCTGATCCCATGGTCCTGATCCCATGGTCCTGATCCCATGGTCCTGAACCCGTGGTCCTGATCCCATGGTCCTGATCCCATGGTCCTGATCCCATGGTCCTGATCCCATGGTCCTGATCCCATGGTCCTGATCCCATGGTCCTGATCCCATGGTCCTGATCCCATGGTCCTGATCCCATGGTCCTGATCCCATGGTCCTGATCCCATGGTCCTGATCCCATGGTCTTGATCCCATGGTCCTGAACCCGTGGTCCTGATCCCATGGTCTTGATCCCATGGTCCTGATCCCATGGTCCTGATCCCATGGTCCTGATCCCATGGTCCTGAACCCGTGGTCGATCCCATGGTCTTGATCCCATGGTCCTGATCCCATGGTCTTGATCCCATGGTCCTGAACCCGTGGTCCTGATCCCATGGTCCTGATCCCATGGTCCTGATCCCATGGTCCTGATCCCATGGTCCTGATCCCATGGTCCTGATCCCATGGTCCTGATCCCATGGTCCTGATCCCATGGTCCTGATCCCATGGTCCTGATCCCCATGGTCCTGATCCCATGGTCCTGATCCCATGGTCTTGATCCCATGGTCCTGAACCCGTGGTCCTGATCCCATGGTCTTGATCCCATGGTCCTGATCCCATGGTCCTGATCCCATGGTCCTGATCCCATGGTCCTGATCCCATGGTCCTGAACCCGTGGTCCTGATCCCATGGTCTTGATCCCGTGGTCCTGATCCCATGGTCCTGATCCCATGGTCTTGATCCCATGGTCCTGATCCCATGGTCCTGATCCCATGGTCCTGATCCCATGGTCCTGATCCCATGGTCCTGATCCCATGGTCCTGATCCCATGGTCCTGATCCCATGGTCCTGATCCCATGGTCTTGATCCCATGGTCCTGAACCCGTGGTCCTGATCCCATGGTCTTGATCCCATGGTCCTGATCCCATGGTCCTGATCCCATGGTCCTGATCCCATGGTCCTGATCCCATGGTCCTGAACCCGTGGTCCTGATCCCATGGTCTTGATCCCGTGGTCCTGATCCCATGGTCCTGATCCCATGGTCCTGATCCCATGGTCCTGATCCCATGGTCGTGGCGGGGTTTCTCTCACCAACAGGAGGCCCAAGTGTCACTCCCCCTGCACCTGTTTGTGTTTAGCACTTTGTAGCACTTTGAAGCAGCTGCTGTAATTACGCGGAGCAGCGGTGCATTGTGCTGAGCGCCATAAACACGGTTAAAGGGCCTCGCACGCCGCACGCCGCCAAAGCCAGCGTTTCCACATAATGGGCTCAAGTGTCGCTCTCTCCAACATTGGACCTGTTTCCTGTTCTGAGGTGGACTGGAGGGTTAGCAATGCTTCTATTTCCTTTGTCACCTGTTGTTTATGAACCAAGGCAGACGCACAGAACACGCTCTGCATCATGAACACGCTCTTGATCATGAACACGCTCTGCATCATGAACACGCTCTGCATCATGAACACGCTCTTGATCATGAACACGCTCTGCATCATGAACACGCTCTTGAGCATGAACACGCTCTGCATCATGAACACGCTCTGGATCATGAACACGCTCTGCATCATGAACACACTCTGCATCATGAACACGCTCTGCATCATGAACACGCTCTTGATCATGAACACGCTCTTGATCATGAACACGCTCTGGATCATGAACACGCTCTGGATCATGAACACGCTCTGCATCATGAACACGCTCTGCATCATGAACACGCTCTGCATCATGAACACGCTCTGCATCATGAACACGCTCTGCATCATGAACACACTCTGCATCATGAACACGCTCTGCATCATGAACACGCTCTTGATCATGAACACGCTCTGGATCATGAACACGCTCTGGATCATGAACACGCTCTTGATCATGAACACGCTCTTGATCATGAACACGCTCTGGATCATGAACACGCTCTGCATCATGAACACGCTCTGCATCATGAACACGCTCTGCAACATGAACACGCTCTGCATCATGAACACGCTCTGCATCATGAACACGCTCTGCATCATGAACACGCTCTGCATCATGAACACGCTCTGCATCATGAACACGCTCTGCATCATGAACACGCTCTGCATCATGAACACGCTCTGCATCATGAACACGCTCTTGATCATGAACACGCTCTGGATCATGAACACGCTCTGGATCATGAACACGCTCTGCACAAAGTTGGAGGTATCCATCCATTTTCTTCCGCTTCATCCGTTGCCGGGTCGCGGGGGCAGCAGTCTAAGCAGAGACGCCCAGACTTCCCTATCCACACACACCTCCTCCAGCTCGTCCGACCCCAAGGCGTTCCCAGGCCAGCTGAGAGACATAGTCCCTCCAGCGTGTCCTAGGTCTTGGAGGTAAGATCCCATTATTTAATGACTCATTAAACATATCTAAAAGCGGTTTTAACAAATGAGTTTGAAAGACCTTGTAACCGTCCGGCCCCGGGGCTTTGCCAGAGTTGATATTCTTAATGGCCTGGAGTAGTTCTTGTATAGGGATATCAGCGTTCAGATCTGACTGGACATCTTCAGTTATTTTTTTATATTGGAGACTGTTGAGGAAGTCATCACAATCTGTTGAAGTGGAACATTATTCTGAGGAGTACAACGATCTATAAAATTCCTTAAATGTATCGTTTATGTGTTGTGGGTCATTTGTAATTTCTCCTGACGGTAAAGATATACCATTAATGGCCTTTTCTGATTCTATTTGTTTAATGCTCCATGCCAAGAGCTTACCAGCTTTTTCCCCCTGGTCGTAAACATTTTGCTTGAGCCATAGTTCGGCTGTTAGTTTATTCTGTCCTTAGGACAAGTAATTGTTTTTGTTTTCCAGGATCATTGTTCTCATTTGAGTCAATTTCGAATCATTTAATTTGGTTTTCTAAATTTGTAATGTCCATCCATCCATCCATCCATTTTCTTCCGCTTCATCCGTTGCCGGGTCGCGGGGGCAGCAGTCTAAGCAGAGACGCCCAGACTTCCCTATCCACACACACCTCCTCCAGCTCGTCTGGGGGGACCCCAAGGCGTTCCCAGGCCAGCTGAGAGACATAGTCTCTCCAGCGTGTCCTGGGTCTTCCCCGGGGCCTCCTCCCGGTGGGACATGCCCGGAACACCTCCCCAGGGAGGCGTCCAGGAGGCATCCGGAACAGATGCCCGAGCCACCTCAACTGGTTCCTCTCGACGTGGAGAAGCAGCGGCTCTACTCTGAGCTCCTCCCGTGTGACTGAGCTCCTCACCCTATCTCTAAGGGAGCAGCCACTCTGCGGAGGAAGCTCATTTCGACCGCTTGTATCCGCGATCTCGTTCTTTCAGTCATTACCCACAGCTCATGACCATAGGTGAGGGAGCTCTGACTGCAGACGCTGCTCCCTCATGACCATAGGTGAGGGAGGGAACGAAGATTGACCGGTAAATCGAGAGCTTTGCCTTTCGGCTCAGCTCCCTCTTTACCACAACGGTCTGATACAGCTCTGACTGCAGACGCTGCTCCCTCTTTACCACAACGGTCTGATACAGCTCTGACTGCAGACGCTGCTCCCTCTTTACCACAACGGTCCGATACAGCTCTGACTGCAGACGCTGCTCCCTCTTTACCACAACGGTCCAATACAGCTCTGACTGCAGACGCTGCTCCCTCTTTACCACAACGGTCCGATACAGCTCTGACTGCAGACGCTGCTCCCTCTTTACCACAACGGTCCAATACAGCTCTGACTGCAGACGCTACTCCCTCTTTACCACAACGGTCCAATACAGCTCTGACTGCAGACGCTGCTCCCTCTTTACCACAACGGTCCAATACAGCTCTGACTGCAGACGCTGCTCCCTCTTCACCACAACGGTCCGATACAGCGACCGCATCACTGCGCACGCTGCACTGATCCACCTGTCAATCTCACGCTCCATCCTCCCCTCACTCATGAACAAGACCCCGAGATACTTGAACTCCTCCACTTGAGGAAGGACCTCTCCACCCACCTGCAGAGGGCAAGGCACCTTTTTCCGGTCGAGCACCATGGCCTCAGATTTGGAGGTGCTGATTCTCATCCCAGCCGCTTCACACTCGGCTGCAAACCGTCCCAGTGCATGCTGCAGGTCCTGGTTCGTTGGAGCCAACAGGACAACATCGTCTGCAAACAGCAGAGATGAAATCCTGTGGTCTCCGAACCGGACCCCCTCCGGCCCCTGGCTGCGTCTAGATATTCTGTCCATGAATACAGTGAACAGAACCGGTGACAAAGGGCAGCCCTGTCGGAGGCCAACATGCACCGGGAACAGGTCTGACTTACTGCTGATGCAAACACAGCTCTGGCTCCGGTCATACAGGGATCGGATGGCCCTCAGCAGAGGACCCCGGACCCCGTACTCACGGAGGACCCCCCAAAGGACACCCCGGGGAACACGGTCGAACGCCTTCTCCAAATCCACAAAGCACATGTGGACAGGTTGGGCGAACTCCCATGAACCCTCGAGTATCCGATGGAGAGTATAGAGCTGGTCCAGTGTTCCGCGGCCGGGACGAAAACCACACTGCTCCTCCTGAATCCGAGATTCGACCATCGGCCGTAGCCTCCTCTCCAGTACCTTGGAGTAGACCTTACTGAGGCTGAGGAGTGTGATCCCACGATAATTGGAACACACCCTCCGGTCCCCCTTCTTGTAGAGAGGGACCACCACCCCGGTCCCCTGTTTATTTTTAATAAACAGATTTTATCGAATTACTTTTTAAAGAATGAATTAATACTTTTAAACTAAATTTGTACTATTTTTACTATGTTTTTAACTTGAATTTTATTGTAATTTTAATGTTTTATTACAATAACTACGGTCCAAATACTTTTAGAATTTAACTTAATTACTTTTAGTTTTTACAAATTTTATCACAATATTTTAACATTGTATTTGATCATAACACTAACTTTTTAGATTGAAGATTATTTAAACAAATAAATAAATAACAAATATTTTAGACTGTACTGTTAACTCAACTTACAGAACCAATCAATTAAACTGATTGTGAGACGTTAAAGATAATTTCTTGTAAATATTGATTACAATTAACTGAAAGTTACCCACAATAGATATTAGCCAAATAGAGTTGAGGTGCCTAGACTGAGAAATAAGTGAAATAATATTACCCCTCACTTGGGTGACTCAAAGTGGTTGAATTAGCCAAAATATGTTACATTTATGATAGCAAACGAACTAAGGCCCTGTCCACACGAAGTCAAGCTCAGGCCTAAACGCAAAAATACTTTATCAATCCAGTGTATCGTCCATGCGAGGCCGGCGTTTTGGGGGGGTGTAAACGAACATTTTTGAAAGTAGGTCCCAGAGTGGAAAGATTTCAAAACTCCGTATATGCCGCTCCGTGGTTACTGCCTCTCCGCAATGTATCTGAGACGCGTCATCGCCCCGCCTCTTGTTAAAGCAGCATGCGCCGCACTCAGAAAATAATGACAACAACAATGTAGCTTGTTGGTTTTGTAATCCAGTGTGACCCGAAGCAACAGTTCAACCTCATCGTCCGTCCATACTAATGTAGTACCAGCTCGCCCACTCGCCATGTTGTCTGTTTACAACATTCTGCACATGCCCAGTTCCCGTCACGGAAGTTTGGGCTTGATCCCGTCATTGCGTCACAGCGCCACCAACAGGTCTGGCATAGTTTCACAGCGTTTTCAGGCGTATTGACTACATTCATATGGACGCACACATTTACTGAGCTAACTCCGTGTTTACAGAAAAAGTTTCTGAAATTATAAGCGTTTTGTCTTTGTGTGGATATAGCCTAAAACGAGGCCTTTGTCTATTTTAAGCTTTTAAACAGAAATCTTCACTCATCAGTAGCATCTGTGTTCACCTTCATGCATTCAGTTTGTGTGTGTGGTTACACACCTGCACAAACTTGGCTAATTATTTGCCAGACTACTGGTTCCAAAGTAACTATGCCTCCATCTACAGGCTAAACGTAAAATAACAAAAGAGATAGGAAGATAGACAGAGCAGTAAGAGTAGATTAGAAAGATGTTTTAGATTTAAGCCGAGATTGACTTAACAGTTAATGTATTTAATTATAGTTTATATTTGTGCCATAGTTAATGTATTTAATTATAGTTTATATTTGTGCCATAGTTAATGTATTTAATTATAGTTTATATTTGTGCCATAGTTAATGTATTTAATTATAGTTTATATTTGTGCCATAGTTAATGTATTTAATTATAGTTTATATTTGTGCCATAGTTACGACCCTGCGTGTGCTCTACTGAACCTGCTGATGCAACACTGACATTTCCACACTTCCTCTTGAGTTAGTCTGGATCTGGATCGAGGCCACCTTCGGACAGGGCCAGAGCTGGGCCTCTCTGCCTTGCATTGGGGGGGCTGTCTGCAGGAGCTGGGCCTCTCTGCCTTGCATTGGGGGGGGCTGTCTGCAGGAGCTGGGCCTCTCTGCCTTGCATTGGGGGGGGCTGTCTGCAGGAGCTGGGCCTCTCTGCCTTGCATTGGGGGGGCTGTCTGCAGGAGCTGGGCCTCTCTGCCTTGCAATTGGGGGGGCTGTCTGCAGGAGCTGGGCCTCTCTGCCTTGCATTGGGGGGCTGTCTGCAGGAGCTGGGCCTCTCTGCCTTGCATTGGGGGGGCTGTCTGCAGGAGCTGGGCCTCTCTGCCTTGCATTGGGGGGGCTGTCTGCAGGAGCTGGGCCTCTCTGCCTTGCATTGGGGGGGGCTGTCTGCAGGAGCTGGGCCTCTCTGCCTTGCATTGGGGGGGCTGTCTGCAGGAGCTGGGCCTCTCTGCCTTGCATTGGGGGGGCTGTCTGCAGGAGCTGGGCCTCTCTGCCTTGCATTGGGGGGGGCTGTCTGCAGGAGCTGGGCCTCTCTGCCTTGCATTGGGGGGGCTGTCTGCAGGAGCTGGGCCTCTCTGCCTTGCATTGGGGGGGGTGGAGACACAGAGCACTGATCGCATCACTGCCTCATAATCACTCCTTCTCCTGTGAGTTTTACACAGACAGCTGTGAAGGACATGGACTTTATGGACACTTTAGAGATACATGTCGTTAGAGTTAGAGATGGAGGTTTGGGTAGAAAGAGATACGTACAGATAGAGAGATATAGAGATATAGAGAAAGAGAGATATAGAGATAGAGAGATATAGAGATATAGAGATATAGAGAAAGAGAGAAAGAGAGAAAGAGAGATATAGAGATATAGAGATATAGAGATATAGAGATATAAAGATATGGAGATAGAGAGATAGAGAGATAGAGAGATAGAGAGATAGAGAGATAGAGAGATAGAGAGATATAGAGATATAGAGATATAGAGATATAGAGATATAGAGATATAGAGATAGAGAGATAGAGAGATAGAGAGATAGAGAGATATAGAGATATAGAGATATAGAGATAGAGAGATAGAGAGATAGAGAGATAGAGAGATAGAGAGATAGAGAGATATAGAGATATAGAGATATAGAGATATAGAGATATAGAGATAGAGAGATAGAGAGATAGAGAGATAGAGAGATATAGAGATATAGAGATATAGAGATATAGAGATAGAGAGATAGATAGAGAAACATAGAGATAGAGAGATAGTGGCAGAGAGATAGAATCTTCATCCACTCTTACTGTGATTCCATTTACATCCAGATCTGTGTTCTCAGTTGGACCTGGTTTTCCATCAGAGGCTCCTGCAGAGAGTGAGAACAGAACCATTCTGTTTTTGAATGAGCAAAGTGAATATTCAAACTACAGTACCTGACCCGCTCTGCCGTTGTGTGTGTTTCAAAATGGGTCAAATCTGTTAAAACGTTTTTCTTTGTGGTCCAATAAGAGGTTTAAGGACAGGCCCAGGACTCTCCACATTCAATATTTATAGACTTTGGTCTCTTCCTGATCTGTGCCGGAGAATTAAACCGTTTTGTAAAGTCTCTGAGATCATTCCTGTTGTGATTTAGAGAATGAAATGATTTGATAAGAATTCAACATCAACATTTAGCAAAGGTATTATTTTGCTCCCTCTGGGTCGATGCTCGCTGTGAACACATGAGTTCCTTTTGTTCTGTTTCGGGGAAAGCAGAGGTAATTGTGGAGGAAGCGGCTGGAGCTTGACGGACTATTTTCTGGGCGATCACACAAACATCTCACACTTTCAGAGAGTGGGACAGAGAAGGTTGGTAAAGTGTCAAAGCGGATGCTTCTACTACAGTCTTTGAAACAGAAATTGCTCCTGGATTCTCAGGGTTTGTGCTTTTACTGGAGCTGGGGTTTGGTGACGTGGTATTAGCGGCGCTCTGCAGCGTGGACGATTAACCGCAGAGAGATGCGTCTGTCGTCCTTCTGTCGTCTCCTGCTCTTTATCTCGTCTTCTCTGACAAACCACTATTTTCTTGTCATTCCAAATGCTTCTTTCTACGTTTTGTACTTTTCTGCAGAAAGATACTTGACTTTGAACAAAGTATTGAACCTTGAGAGAGTGACTGTGTCCCCAGAAACAGACAGAACTTTATGTTTTAGAATAATATCTGCAGTAGAAAGAGTTGGCCTGTCCTACCCCTCTGCCCCCACCAGAGAGAGGGAGGGGTAAATACTGCTATGGGCCTGTCCTACCCCTCTGCCCCCTCCAGAGGGAGGGGTAAATACTGCTATGGGCCTGTCCTACCCCTCTGCCCCCTCCAGAGGGAGGGGTAAATACTGCTATGGGCCTGTCCTACCCCTCTGCCACCTCCAGAGAGAGAGAGGGGTAAATACTGCTATGGGCCTGTCCTACCCCTCTGCCACCACCAGAGGGAGGGGTAAATACTGCTATGGGCCTGTCCTACCCCTCTGCCACCACCAGAGGGAGGGGTAAATACTGCTATGGGCCTGTCCTACCCCTCTGCCACCTCCAGAGAAAGGGAGGGGTAAATACTGCTATGGGCCTGTCCTACCCCTCTGCCCCCACCAGAGAGAGGGAGGGGTAAATACTGCTATGGGCCTGTCCTACCCCTCTGCCCCCTCCAGAGGGAGGGGTAAATACTGCTATGGGCCTGTCCTACCCCTCTGCCACCTCCAGAGAGAGAGAGGGGTAAATACTGCTATGGGCCTGTCCTACCCCTCTGCCACCACCAGAGGGAGGGGTAAATACTGCTATGGGCCTGTCCTACCCCTCTGCCACCACCAGAGAGAGGGGTAAATACTGCTATGGGCCTGTCCTACCCCTCTGCCACCTCCAGAGAAAGGGAGGGGTAAATACTGCTATGGGCCTGTCCTACCCCTCTGCCACCTCCAGAGAGAGAGAGGGGTAAATACTGCTATGGGCCTGTCCTACCCCTCTGCCCCCTCCAAAGAGAGGGGTAAATACTGCTATGGGCCTGTCCTACCCCTCTGCCCCCTCCAGAGGGAGGGGTAAATACTGCTATGGGCCTGTCCTTCCTACCCCTCTGCCACCTCCAGAGAGAGAGAGGGGTAAATACTGCTATGGGCCTGTCCTACCCCTCTGCCCCCTCCAAAGAGAGGGGTAAATACTGCTATGGGCCTGTCCTACCCCTCTGCCCCCTCCAGAGGGAGGGGTAAATACTGCTATGGGCCTGTCCTACCCCTCTGCCACCTCCAGAGAGAGGGAGGGGTAAATACTGCTATGGGCCTGTCCTACCCCTCTGCCACCTCCAGAGAGAGGGAGGGGTAAATACTGCTATGGGCCTGTCCTACCCCTCTGCCACCTCCAGAGAGAGGGAGGGGTAAATACTGCTATGGGCCTGTCCTACCCCTCTGCCACCTCCAGAGAGAGAGAGGGGTAAATACTGCTATGGGCCTGTCCTACCCCTCTGCCCCCTCCAGAGAGAGGGGTAAATACTGCTATGGGCCTGTCCTACCCCTCTGCCACCTCCAGAGAGAGGGAGGGGTAAATACTGCTATGGGCCTGTCCTACCCCTCTGCCACCTCCAGAGAGAGGGAGGGGTAAATACTGCTATGGGCCTGTCCTACCCCTCTGCCCCCTCCAGAGAGAGGGGTAAATACTGCTATGGGCCTGTCCTACCCCTCTGCCACCACAAGAGGGAGGGGTAAATACTGCTATGGGCCTGTCCTACCCCTCTGCCACCACAAGAGAGAGGGGTAAATACTGCTATGGGCCTGTCCTACCCCTCTGCCACCACAAGAGGGAGGGGTAAATACTGCTATGGGCCTGTCCTACCCCTCTGCCACCACCAGAGGGAGGGGTAAATACTGCTATGGGCCTGTCCTACCCCTCTGCCCCCACCAGAGAGAGGGGCTGGTTTGTCCTTTTGGTCTTTTCCCTAAAGTCCGATAGAATCCATTCCTTCTCCACAGACTCCCACTGACGAGGACCTGGTCTCAGCCTCGGATGGGGCTCAGGACTTCATGACCTTCGAGATCCCCCTCAACGACTCGGGCTCCGCGGGGCTCGGGGTCAGCGTGAAGGGAAACCGGTCCAAAGAGAACCACACAGACCTGGGAATCTTTGTCAAGTCCATCATCCACGGAGGAGCTGCCAGCAAGGTCAGTTTACAGACCAGAGAGAGACCAGAGAGAGACCAGAGAGAGACCAGAGAGAGACCAGAGAGAGACCAGAGAGAGACCAGAGAGAGACCAGAGAGAGAGACCAGAGAGAGACCAGAGAGAGACCAGAGAGAGACCAGAGAGAGACCAGAGAGAGACCAGAGAGAGACCAGAGAGACACCAGAGAGACACCAGAGAGAGACCAGAGAGAGACCAGAGAGAGACCAGAGAGAGACCAGAGAGAGACCAGAGAGAGACCAGAGAGAGACCAGAGAGAGAGACCAGAGAGAGACCAGAGAGAGACCAGAGAGAGAGACCAGAGAGAGACCTGAGAGAGACCAGAGAGAGACCTGAGAGAGACCAGAGAGAGACCTGAGAGAGACCAGAGAGAGACCAGAGAGAGACTAGAGAGAGACCAGAGAGAGACTAGAGAGAGACCTGAGAGAGACTAGAGAGAGACCTGAGAGAGACCAGAGAGAGACCAGAGAGAGACCTGAGAGAGACCAGAGAGAGACCAGAGAGAGACCAGAGAGACACCAGAGAGAGACCAGAGAGAGACCAGAGAGAGAGCAGAGAGAGACCAGAGAGAGAGACCAGAGAGAGACCAGAGAGAGACCAGAGAGAGAGACCAGAGAGAGACCTGAGAGAGACCAGAGAGAGACCAGAGAGAGACCAGAGAGAGACCAGAGAGAGACCTGAGAGAGACCTGAGAGAGACCAGAGAGACACCAGAGAGAGACCTGAGAGAGACCAGAGAGAGACCAGAGAGAGACCAGAGAGAGACCAGAGAGAGAGACCAGAGAGAGACCAGAGAGACACCAGAGAGAGACCAGAGAGAGACCAGAGAGACACAAGAGAGAGACCAGAGAGAGACCTGAGAGAGACCAGAGAGAGACCAGAGAGAGAGACCAGAGAGAGACCAGAGGGAGACCAGAGACACCAGAGAGAGACCAGAGAGATACCAGAGAGAGACCAGAGAGAGACCAGAAAGAGACCAGAGAGAGACCAGAAAGAGACCAGAGAGAGACCAGAGAGAGAGACCAGAGAGAGAGACCAGAGAGAGAGACCAGAGAGAGACCAGAGAGAGACCAGAGAGACACCAGAGTGAGACCAGAGAGAGACCAGAGAGAGAGACCAGAGAGAGACCTCAGACAGACACCAGAGAGACACCAGAGAGAGACCAGAGAGAGACCAGAGAGAGACCAGAGAGAGACCAGAAAGAGACCAGAGAGAGACTAGAGAGAGACTAGAGAGAGACCAGAGAGAGACCAGAGAGAGAACAGAGAGAGACCAGAGAGAGACCAGAGAGAGACCAGAGAGACACCAGAGAGAGACCAGAGAGAGAACAGAGAGAGAGACCTGAGAGAGAGACCAGAGAGAGACCAGAGAGAGAGACCAGAGAGAGAGACCAGAGAGAGACCAGAGAGAGAGACCAGAGAGAGACCAGAGAGAGACCAGAGAGAGACCAGAGAGACACCAGAGAGAGACCAGAGAGAGACCAGAGAGAGACCAGAGAGAGACCAGAGAGATACCAGAGAGACCTGAGAGAGAGACCAGAGAGAGACCAGAGAGAGACCAGAGAGAGACCAGAGAGAGACCAGAGAGAGAGACCAGAGAGAGACCAGAGAGAGAGACCAGAGAGAGAGACCAGAGAGAGACCTGAGAGAGACCAGAGAGAGACCAGAGAGAGACCAGAGAGAGACCAGAGAGAGACCAGAGAGAGACCTGAGAGAGACCAGAGAGACACCAGAGAGAGACCAGAGAGAGACCAGAGAGAGAGACCAGAGAGAGACCAGAGAGAGACCAGAGAGAGAGACCAGAGAGAGAGACCAGAGAGAGACCAGAGAGAGACCAGAGAGAGACCCAGAGAGAGACAGAGAGAGAGACCAGAGAGAGACCTGAGAGAGACCTGAGAGAGACCAGAGAGACCAGAGAGAGAGACCAGAGAGAGACCAGAGAGAGACCAGAGACACCAGAGAGAGACCAGAGAGATACCAGAGAGAGACCAGAGAGAGAGACCAGAGAGAGACCAGAGAGAGACCAGAGAGAGAGACCAGAGAGAGACCTGAGAGAGACCAGAGAGAGACCAGAGAGAGAGACCAGAGAGAGACCAGAGAGAGACCAGAGAGAGAGACCAGAGAGAGACCTGAGAGAGACCAAAGAGAGACCAGAGAGAGACCAGAGAGAGACCAGAGAGAGACCTGAGAGAGACCTGAGAGAGACCAGAGAGAGACCAGAGAGAGACTAGAGAGAGACCTGAGAGAGACTAGAGAGAGACCTGAGAGAGACCAGAGAGAGACCAGAGAGAGACCTGAGAGAGACCAGAGAGAGACCAGAGAGAGACCAGAGAGACACCAGAGAGACACCAGAGAGAGACCAGAGAGAGACCAGAGAGAGACCAGAGAGAGACCAGAGAGAGACCAGTGAGAGACCTGAGAGAGACCTGAGAGAGAGACCAGAGAGAGACCAGAGAGAGAGACCAGAGAGAGACCAGAGAGAGAGACCAGAGAGAGAGACCAGAGAGAGACCAGAGAGAGACCAGAGAGAGACCAGAGAGAGAGACCAGAGAGAGACCAGAGAGAGAGACCAGAGAGAGACCTGAGAGAGACCAGAGAGAGACCTGAGAGAGACCAGAGAGAGACCTGAGAGAGACCAGAGAGAGACCAGAGAGAGACCAGAGAGAGACCTGAGAGAGACCTGAGAGAGACCAGAGAGAGACCTGAGAGAGACCAGAGAGAGACCTGAGAGAGACCAGAGAGAGACCAGAGAGAGACCAGAGAGAGACCAGAGAGAGACCAGAGAGAGACCAGAGAGAGAGACCAGAGAGAGACCAGAGAGAGACCTGAGAGAGACCAGAGAGAGACCTGAGAGAGACCAGAGAGAGACCAGAGAGAGACCAGAGAGAGACCTGAGAGAGACCAGAGAGAGACCAGAGAGAGACCTGAGAGAGACCAGAGAGAGACCAGAGAGAGACCAGAGAGAGACCAGAGAGAGACCAGAGAGAGACCAGAGAGACACCAGAGAGAGACCAGAGAGAGAGACCAGAGAGAGACCAGAGAGAGACCAGAGAGAGACCAGAGAGAGAGACCAGAGAGAGACCAGAGAGAGAGACCAGAGAGAGAGACCAGAGAGAGACCTGAGAGAGACCAGAGAGAGACCAGAGAGAGACCAGAGAGAGACCTGAGAGAGACCTGAGAGAGACCAGAGAGAGACCTGAGAGAGACCAGAGAGAGACCTGAGAGAGACCAGAGAGAGACCAGAGAGAGACCAGAGAGAGACCAGAGAGAGACCAGAGAGAGACCAGAGAGAGACCAGAGAGAGAGACCAGAGAGAGACCAGAGAGAGACCAGAGAGAGAGACCAGAGAGAGACCAGAGAGAGACCTGAGAGAGACCAGAGAGAGACCAGAGAGAGACCAGAGAGAGACCAGAGAGAGACCAGAGAGAGACCAGAGAGAGACCTGAGAGAGACCAGAGAGACACCAGAGAGACACCAGAGAGAGACCAGAGACAGACCTGAGAGAGACCAGAGAGAGACCAGAGAGAGAGACCAGAGAGAGACCAGAGAGAGACCAGAGACACCAGAGAGAGACCAGAGAGATACCAGAGAGAGACCAGAGAGAGACCAGAAAGAGACCAGAAAGAGACCAGAGAGAGACCAGAGAGAGACCAGAGAGAGAGACCAGAGAGAGAGACCAGAGAGAGACCAGAGAGAGACCAGAGAGACACCAGAGTGAGACCAGAGAGAGACCAGAGAGAGAGACCAGAGAGA